CTAGAATGCACACACATCAGCACTAATGACCTCACTGTACTAGTCCGTGGGGGTGGTAGATGCCGTTGAGTGAATATGTGTACTGTGTGCCTCTCACATTCAAAATGACTGAGCCACTAGAGCAACAGATCTGCATCAAATTTTGCATTACGCTTGAACATTCCTCTATGGAAACTATTCGGATGAATGATTCAGAACGCTTTTCGGGATGATGTAATGAGTGCAAAGCAAATAAAAGTGTGGCACAAACACTTCAAAGATGGTCAAGAATCTGTTGAAAGTGACCCACTTTCTGGAAGGCCTGCAACAAGCAAAACACCTGAGAATGTTGAATATGTATGGGCTGCAATCTACAAATATTGAGACTGACAGTGTGAGGCCTTGAGGCTGATCTGGGGATTCCAAAAACTGCTGTGTCCGAGGTTTTGATGCAGGATCTTGGCATGAAATGTGTTCTGGCAAATTCATTCCGTGGCTTCTGCTATTAGAGCAGAAGGAACACGATGCTGCACTTGCTAGTGACTTGATTCAAACTGCTACCAATGAACCAGAATTGGCACCCTGCAACTTCTGGCTTTTCCCAAAACTAAAATCACCTTTGAAAGGGAAGATATTTCAGACTGTCAGTGAGATTCAAGAAAGTACAATGGGGCAGCTGATGGCAATTCCAGCAAAGGATTTTGCAGTGTTTTGAACAGTGGAAGAGATGCTGGGAGAACTGTGTGAAGTCCCAAGGTGCCTACTTTGAAAGGGACTAATGTGTCATTGTCCTATGTACAATGCTGCTTATGTCTTGTATCTTCAATAAATGCCTCTATTTTTCATAACACATGGCTTGATACTTTCTGGACAGATGTTGTATACCCCTCTTTTTATTAGATTAACAAAAATCTATTTTTGTTGTGCTACAGAATTTTAGTAATTGGTTTATGGGTGCCCTGAGATGTAAAATGCTGAAAATCACTGATATGTTAACTCCTAATAAATAATCAGAAAATGTTAGCATAATTGGTATTATTATTACTCTTTGATTCATCATTATCCTCACTCTCATCCCTGCCTTCATTTCCCTTTCCTGGCAAATCCCTATGTATCCTTCAGTGTGGAGTTTATTGTCATCTTGTCTGAACGAAGTCTTTCCTAATTCTCATGCAGAATTCATCCCTACCCCCCTCCCTTATAGTATTTCTAATAGTCTCATGATGAGAGGCACTGTGCTGGACCAATAAAAAATGACCACCACAGCAGATTCATTGCCCTCATCCTCAACACCTTTATCCCTAAACTCTTTCTGGTTTCTCCTTGGAATCTCACGTATCCTATACATAAGGACTAGCTGACCCCTGATGTTATTTCTGCAGATCTAGACAGTGTAGTGCCTACCATTCTCCTTTGACCACCCTCGCCCACCTATGGGGGAGTCTATCTCCATCACGACTTCTCCCATCAGAGTGGGATGCTCAGCTCTGATAGCAATCAGTGTATGTGGCTTTATTGTATTATAAAGGATTGTCTGTTTATATTGTAATTATCTGCTTACATAATTATCTTCCCTACTACACTGTGAGCTCCACAGAACTTTTGCATGTTTGTAACCATAGGACATAATAAGTGTTGGCTACAAAGCAGGCAGTCATTACAGTTTCCCTTTTGAATGAATGAATGAATGAATGAATGATATATATGTATGAGTTGGGATAATCAGCTATCACCTTCTATGGATAAATTCTGCTGCATTAATAGAGCTGTTACATGTAGGAGGTAGTGCAATTTGGTAGAAATACCCTGAAGTAGGATTAAAAAGATGAATTCTTTGACCAAGGCAAACCACTTCTCTGTACCTTGGTTCTCTGAGTTGTTACAGAAAATATGAGATACTACTTTGTCCATTGAAAAATTCTTAACAGATATAAACTGAACTATTGTCCTGAAAAATAAGCAAATTTTATTACAACTGTTGTGTTTTGGTATAATTTCTCTTTGTTTTACAAATTTCTATGACAGTTGAAAATTTGTAAGGAAAGATATGTAACCATAAGTCAGCCTGTCATATAACAGGACAAGTATTTGAAAAATAATAAGCATAATTTTAAATTCTTATTTTAGGGTCTCATAATTTATGCTTTTTTTGTTTTTTAATTCTTATTGAGTTTATTGGGGTGACCTTAGTTGATAAAATTATATAGGTTTCAGGTGTACAATTCTATAACACGTCATCTGTATATTGTATTGTATGTCCACCACCCAAAGTCAAGCCTCCTTCCGTCACCATTTATCTCCCCTTTACTCTCTTCTACCTTCCCCAACCCCACTTTCCCTCTGGTAATCACCATACTGCAGTCTGTGTCTGTGAGGGTGTTTTGTTTTTGTTTTGTTTTGCATAATCCTTCACCTTTCTCACCCAGTCCCCCAGCCTCTCAACCCCCTCCCCTAATCGCTGCCATTCTGTTTTCTATATCTGTAGTCTTTTTGTCTCTATGCGACTTTTTGTACATGTTTTATTTCATTACCTTTCACAGCTTGAATTTTAGATTCATCCTTTATATTCTTTTTAAGATTTAGATGTAATTTTATTTTCATTATTTTAATGCTTTAAAAAATATTTTCCTGTTCCATGTATTTTAGTAAGTCCAGTTGAACAGAGCAATGGATACTGTATGCACAATGGTCTTGAAAGATATTCTTTTTTAAAAAAATGCAAAATCAGTTGTTTTCTTTACTTACTGGTAACAACTTATGTGTGCCATTTGAAAAGCTATTTAACATCTTTGTGATTTACTTTCAATATCTATAAAATTGGGATATAACATCTCATAGAGTTGTTGATATAATTACATGACATAAACATCTGTAAATAGCTTAAAATCATCTTCTATGCATAGTAAATGCTCAGTAGTTTATTTTAATTGTTACTGTTAATGATGTTACTGATAGTGTACCAGTGTTTCTTTTCAGCCTTTTTCATATGTGCCTAAATGTCCATTTTAACCCTGGTGTAGCACAGAGACCATTAATTTTTGTTTCTACCTGCAATTTCTCTGTTATTTCTTCCCAATTTATTGTGGCAATCTGATTTTTTCTAAATCTCAATTAAACTTTAGAATGGATAATGGACAGTAATTTATGTATAATAAATGCAGAATTGAATGACAACAATAAAATGTCAAAAGTCTTTTCAAGTAATATACTTTAAGAAATACATGTCAGAGCTCTTATTTTACTCACTGGAAACATTAGTTAAATGGAGATTCAAGTTAATCTGTTTACCTGCCATCATATTCTACTTGACTATTGAAATTTCACTTTTTACATTTGCAGTAATTTCCACATTTTCTGATATTTCTATCAGGTGCTTACAATGTCATTTTTACTCTAGAAATTTAGGAGATAATTTGAAGTAACTTTTAGTGGATGGTATATCTTTAAAAGTAGTTTATTATGATTTTAATGCAATTTTGACAGATGACAGGCTTTCTTTAGGAAAATAAATCACTTGCTTTTTTTTTACCACGTTAAATTTGCAATTAATGGTGGTTAAGTGTTTAGTACATGGGAAGAAATGTTACAAGTAGCAGAGTCTAGTTTACACAAAGCCTTTCTGTATGTATTCTTCCACTTAGAGCTGTTGTATACATTAAACTTCTAAGATTTTAGTCACTATCTGCTGAAATTTTAAATTTGAGGCATATTATATTTATACCAAGAGAACAAAAATGAAATTATGTAATTATCTAATTAAATCAATTTCATAATATTCACTGTTTCACAGTAAAAGTTGCTCTATAGTATCACTCATTTTAAACTACATAATCAAAGTTTTGCAAACCACATCATGTCTGACTTACTAAAGTTTTAGTTTCTAAATATCTGAGTAGTGTAGTAGTAGAAATTGAAGCTCTGCTTATTCATAGTTCACCAAAATTTCAGTTATTAGAACTAAGATCCTATTTTCTTAGCCATTTATTAGAACGTACATCTTCTTTTCGTAGCCATTCTATTTAAATATATTATTTTGATCATAAAGGTAGTTATGTACCTATCCTTACCTTATTCCTTAAGATTTCTGCTGTAATTTGTCTAATCATTTCCATCTCTGCTTTTAAGTTTCCAGGTTTTATTAGGCAAATTTTGTAATGACCTTAGAAGGTTTGTATGTTATTTTGAACAATTAGCTTTGAGGAAAAAGATATAATCACTAGATAGAGAAGTATATTGAGTCTTAAGATTCTTAGAGCATTAACGGTGTATTTTCAAGGAACCAAAGAGTTGATAGTACTGATATTTTTTGGCCAATTTCATTCCAAAGTAATGATTTTCCTTCTTGATGGAAATGTATCACTATTTTTATCTGATCAGATAGGGTCAGTGTCATTAAGGGAAGGACAAAGGTGTTCCTGAAGAAATTATTAAGAATTGAAAAGAGATGTGGGAAGAAGGAGTGTGTGGGAGTGGGGGAAAGTACAGGGAGGGATAGGAATTAACTCACATTATTAGTTTGCTGTATTCTAGAGAGCTCCAGAGAGAAGGCGAGAGGGTGGTGGGAAAGAGATTAGGGTGAACAGTACTTGCTACGCTCCATGAAGATACTTTTGGCACATGGCAACCTTTTTATTATTTGGAGCCCGTTAGGTGTATGGATCAAAAGGAAGAAAGTATATACTAGTTCAATTATATCAACAGGGAATGTTCACAACTTAAAAAAAGCAATGATTATGCTTTCATGCCACTTAGGGAACACCTTTTTAATGAATGGTATCAAAATACCAATGTACTAGACATACTTAACATTTTATTGTTTATTTTCTTATTTTCTGTGAATATGTTTCCGTTAAGATCTGAAATGTAGAGATGATAGTATCCAAATGTGCCATGTTAAAATGTGTCATTAATTATCATGGATACTTTCAAAATAAAAGACTAACAAATATTAATTAATTTGACTTAAGGGACCAGTCTAAACTTTTGTCAGTTTATAATTTCAGTTTGTTTCTTTTCATAAGTTTCATAGGAGAATTTACAAGGGGATCCCACTCCAGCTCCGAGGTGAAGTCTGGGCTCTGCTTCTTGAGATCCCTAAGATGAAAGAAGAAACGAGGGACCTTTATAGTGTGAGTATCTGAAGCCAGCGTGTTATTTTGAAATGCAAAAGTAAAATCCATTTTTTTAGTATTCAAGGTGATGAGAGATATTCATATAATCATTTAAAATTATATTAAAATGATATCACATTGGGTTTATAAGCCTATTATCTGTTTTCTTGATTGTTTTGTTTATTGAAGTCTCCTTCCTAAATTTCAAAAAAGTACTTCAGTGAAAATGTTATTTTCTGTATCAGTAAGTATTAAGTGCTTTTCAAATACTTGAAATGATCAATCAATGTTGAGCCATACTCATAAGAAAAATTGACTAAGACCTGATTGTAGCTGCCTGTATGCAATGTAGTATTAATGAAGAGATTTACAGGGTTACTTTTAGTTATGGAAAAATAATAGCAGAATTCAATTTATCCAACAACTGCCTGTATATGATTGACTGTTTTCTTCTAAACATGAAAAAGAATTTTTCCTGAAGATTATTAGGGTATCTCCAGGTTTTATTATTTATTAATACAGAGCTAAACTGTATTCAATAATCAGTAATACATTGCTCAAATTACCTCATGCATTAAATTTACTTCACTGTCAGTTATAATACTTTGAAACCTAAATTTTATATCAATCTTTAAAAGGGGTAAGACACTTATGTCTGAGAATCAGTTTGAAATATGTCACTCAGAAAATGGATGTAAGTAGAATAAATTAGAATAGAGGAAACAAAGAAATTATTTAAACCAATTTCAGAAATTATTTAAACCAGTTATAAAAAGGGGTTTTGGAATTCTCTTTTGATATTTTCATTGAAATGTATATAAAATTTCATTAAGATGAAATTAATAAATACTCATTAATTTAAAGAATTACTTGTTTTGTATAACATAGATTTTCAAAATTAGCTGATTGGACCCTACACATACTATAAGTTTATTTTCATGGTTTTAGAGTTTCAAGTTATTGTAGACTGTGGATTAAATGTTTGGTTTTAGTCATAGTTGGACAGCCAGTGTTGAAATTAATGCCTGAGAGAACATACAAAATTTAATCTAGCACCTCCTAAGTGTGCCCAGCCTGTGGTCTGTACTCAGTAAATATTAGCATGTTGTGTGTATTTCCTAGGGCTGACAAAGTACCACAGACAAAGTACCACAGACTGAGTGGCTTAAAATATTGGAAATTTATTCTCTCACAATTGTGGGAGATACAGCCTGAAATCAAGGTGTCAGTAGGACCCTACTCTCTCCCAAGGCTCTAGGGAAGAACCCTTCCTTGATGCTTCCTAGACTGTGGTGGCTGCCAGCAGTCTTTGGTGTGCTTGCCTTGTTTCTGCATCACTCTAATTTCTGTCTTCACCTTCACATGGCTTCTTCCCTGTGTGTGTCTCTGTGTCTGGCCTTATAAAGACACCTGTCATTGGATTTAGGTCCAGCCCTAATCCAGTGTGACCTCACTAATTTTATTACATCTGTAAAGACCCCATTTCCAAACCAGGTCATAGTCAGTTTCTAGGTAAACAAGAATTTTAGAGAGAGACTGTTCAACCCAGTATATGTGCTAATATTAGAACTGTGGTTTTCCATTATATAGATTAGTCCTTTTCTACATAAATAAGATTTTTTCCAGTGACTGGTTAATATGAGAGAATCATTTAATGAAAAACGAATCATACAATAACAACAATAAGAGAAATGGATTGCTCACCAAGACTTTCAAGTTGTCATTTTCAACACTATCATAAGCATTATTTTTACTCTTTGAGTTTCCCCCAGCATCATTATTCAATGACTTGCTCACCAAGACCTTCAAGCTTATAATTTTCAACACTACTATAAACATTTTTTATTCTGAGTTTCCCCAGCATCATCATTTAACCAAGACTTCCTTTCTTTGTCAGTCTTTCTTCCTATCCCTTTGTAAAAGTCGTGTAAATTGTTCTATTCAAGTTGGAAATTTAGTAGAAATAAATTTTCTAGTAAACCTACTTTTCTTAACCTTCTAAAGTTTTTCTCGGATTGTCAAATTGTCCTGACTCCTGACCTGGTGTCCCCATCTGTTCTCCTGTGCTTTTAATTGTATCTCATCATTAGTGATGCTGTGTCCTGCAGCTGGGAGAGGTTCAGCCCATAGAGGTTAGCAACATCATCTCCAGTCTTAGTGGGGCTTAATAATCTTGTAGGCCAAATTCACAGTGCTAATTTCTCATTTAAATGCTTCCACAGTACTTCTGCCCTCAGTTTTATAGGTTCATTATTTCCTATTTCTTTTAAATAAGATGTTTATTCCAATATTATTGTGATAATCATGAATTTCAAACCACCCAGTCTCAGAGATAACTGGAGAAGCTGCTAACCTCTTTTCATTAAGATAAGAAATATGCTTGATTTCTTGTGCTCTGCACATTAACATGTAAACAGTCTAGGGCATAAACAATCTTTCTGACCATTTTATTTTCTGACTCAGCTGGGCTTTGTTTCTATCGTGAAGTTTTTTTTTTTATGTTGGATTTTGTTGTCTTCTAGAGAAGCTGATATTATAGATGTGTTTAGGTGTTTTTCTCCCTTTCAACTAAGTTTTATTTTATCATGTATTATCAAACATTTTCTTTCTGTTTTTTGACATCTTATCTTTACCAAGAGGCCCATGAGCAACAATGGAACCTTTTTTACTTACCCATTACCCTTTTCCCCCAGATATTTAAAGAACAAATATATAAAGATTATTATTTTTAAAGTTAATTTTTTGTAATGTATTCTAGACCAACTTATATAAGAAGTAGCATACAATTACATTTAAGTGGTTGTATGGTTCCAGGATAGTACTATAAGTATCCTCCTCCGTCTTTGGAAATCTGAAGTGTACCATGATTACTTTTTCTGTTTTAAAAAGTTACAGAAGCTGCTTTTCTCTGAGCTGTACCTCAAAACACAAAACTGTACATAGAAAACACTTAACATAAACACACATATCCAAGGTGGCCCTCAACTTTTCATTGTTAGCTTAAGCCAGGAATTGAAAGTTATGTTTTTATATATATTTTTGGAATTGATTTTAGCAGAAATATATATTACCAGCACATGGTAGGTAGGTCAATATAACATATGTATATAGATGCTTAATTATACTTAAGCATGGGAAAGTATAAATTATATAAATTTTGATCTCCCATCTGGTTAAACATGGGTGATTAAACATTGCCATTTAGTGCCCCTAAATTGTGAAATGCCACTAAATTAACAGCAGAGAGTGTTTTAAAAGGCAAACCTCAAGGAAGAGAAAATAGGAGAAGAAATTAAGAGCTGCCAATTTTTAGAAACCAGAATTCAGACAAATACTAATCTTAGCAAACATGAGAAAACTAATTGTAGGCTAGCAGTGAGAAATTGGAGAAGCACCTGATTTTTATCTCAAAATCTCCAAAAACCTTGGTAATTGCCAGTTCCAGGTACCTTTGGAGTAGAAGTGAAAAAGTCTGCTGCAGAAGCAGTAAGACGCCCTCAGTCCCCCCGTCCCCCCCCCCACCCCCCCGGGCAGGAGGCTGAAGGTTTGCCATTTGGAGAGGGTAAAACAGAGGGCCTGTGGGTGGGAGAGAACACAGACACTGCCCAGGGCGGGGCTGCTGTAATGAAAGCACAGAAGAATTGAATACCCTGAATTTGGGGCATTGCAGCCTTTCCCTCTACTCCACTCTCAGAACATGGGCAGCTGGGGCCTGTCTTTTTGACAGGAGAGCAGAAGGGCCTTCTCTGGAGAATCTGACCAGCCTAAGAAAATAAACCCAAGTGAAACTGCCCAGCCTGTGAAGACCCAGTTGGGAATCCCCACTTCTGCACACAGAGTTTCCACCAGCTTTTAGTCTCCTACTTTTAAATATAAGCAGACAGCGAAGTATCACTGTTCATTTGAGGAAAATGAACTAATATGAAAGACAAATGAGAATGAATGGAAAAAAGCAACTTATAAGAAACAGACTAGAGCTCAAGAAGAAAACAAAAAAACTATCACTAATGTCTTCAGAGGGGTAAAAATAGCCATTGCATCCATAAAACAAGTATAGAATGCTATAAAAAGGAACATTTGAGGAAAACAAAGAGCTTATAAATATAAAAATGATAATAGAAATGAAAGATCCTAGAGGAGGGTTTGAAAATAACAATTGATTTCCCAGAAAGTAGATTATAAAGTCAAAGAGATGGAAAATAATAGAGAAAATATAAGAAAATTAAATGACAGCCGAGGAGATCTCACACTGTAATAATAAGAGTTCCGGAAAGAGAAAATGGGAATGTGGGAGGGGAGGCTAGAGAAATCAACAAATGAATTATGGAAATTTCTCAGAACTCAGAGATGTATGAGGTTTTAAGATTGAAAAGATCCATCAAGTGTCTAGCCCTGTGGATAAAAATAGATCCAAACCAAGCAGAGACGTGAAGTTTCAGACATGGAGAAAGAAACTCCTGTAAGCTTCTAGAGAGACTAGCAATGCAAATCCAAAAAGTTCTCTGTCCAAAATTAAAATCTACCTCTCTTGATGAGTGTTAGAAAAAAGAGGTGATGGGAAAAGGGAGGAAACAGAAGTAGGAGAAACGGGGCATGAATGGGTGAGAACCTTTTTACGTTGTTTTCATGTTTGAACCATGGGAATGATTTTCCTAAACCAAAATGTCTTTTAAATGAGAATTATTGTACTATTTTTCATAGATTTTTCAACAACTGATTTCCATAAAAATATGCTTTCTTCTTCTCTTTTTTCTCTTCAGAAATTAAAGCACAGAGCACGTGGTTGTTCTCCTGATATCAGACAAATAGACCTTGATGTCAACCGCACATTTAGGGACCATATTATGTTTAGAGACAGATACGGTGTTAAGTAAGTAAACTTCAATATTATGCAATGTAGATAGCATTTATAAAAAGTCTTTATCAAATCTTTATTAACTTAAAAATGTGAGTGTTGAGTTGTCTCATAAACACTAATCTTCATTCAGGTCCTAAAGGTTAAGCTTTTACAGATTATTTAATTCATGTTGGATGAAATTTAGGTTCACATTTAACTTAACATTTTAAATTTTTGACATAGTTGGTGCTTGAAATTGGTAAAGAATCATTTTATGATTTGTGAATTCTTAAAACTATGGTAGATACTTTATTAGAAGTTTTAGAAAAGAAATGAGAGATTGTGTTGCTTTTCAAGAACTGTGTCAGTGATAAACAACACCCCTATAACCTTGACCCCATGCACAGATGAAACAAAAAAAAAGTGGGAAATGAATGAATTAAATGACTATGACAATTTATGGATAGAAGGTATAGCTTTGCTGACCTCTGTATTGGTTAGCATTCAACCAGAGAAACAGAAACCAGTAAGAGATATATACTAAAGAGAACCATTGTGAGGAATTGGCTTACACAATGGAGGGGGCTGACTAGGCAATCTGGGGTCCACAGAGCAGGCTGTCAGGGAAAGCAGGCTGGGCCTCCTGGGTGTGAGCTGAAGCTTCTGGCCTCAGGGGGAACATCTTCAGGGAAGCCACAGATCTGCTCTTACAGCCTTTTAACTGATTGAATCAGGCCTACTCAGGTTATCTAGGATGATCTCCTTTACTTCAAGTCAACTGGTTATGGATTTTAATCACATGTACAAAACATCTCCTTTATAGCAACATCTAGATTAGTGTTGGAGTAACTGGGTATTGTAGCTGAGCCAGGTTGACAAAGTTGACCATCACAGTCAACCCTTGTCAATTTAATTTCCAAATAAAGTCAGTAACAAAGTTATACTTTGGCCTAACTGTTCTGCTTATGACTGATTATGTTAACCCTTTCTGCACAAAAGGATGCATGTTCACTGTGCTATAAAGTTAACTATTGTTAAAAGATCTCATATAAGATAATTAGGGAAAAGAGAAGGGAGAAAACAATATTTCTAACATGTATGCAAACATATATCAAAATAAGGAAGAAGTACTCATTTATAGTCTTCATTTCTGCAACTGGGCATGTGGTCATAGCTGGTTTATAACTCTCTTTGTGTTCCTCATTGCATATTTCCTTTGCCCTCAGCAAGTATCTCTGCTGGTTATAGTTTGTACCTGGTGGGGGTGACCTGAACCTTTATTCCTAAAGGATCTGGACCATTAGCAATCCAGCCCAAATTGGATTGGTACAGTTTTCTGTTGACTTTGATCACAGGTTTTGGTAATGCTAAGAGACACTCTAAATGTTTTCCTGTATTTTAGACTTATGCTTCCTTACGTCCATCATCTAGTAGCAACTCAGTTTCCCCTTAATAATCAGTATCAACCACCCTCGCCAATACAGTTGCCCCCTTCTCTCCTGTTAATTCAGAGACATGAGGAGCCCAAAGTGTCTGGGTGGCAACGTCAGCTTCCAATTCAGGGGAATCACTGTTGTGTCTCCTTGTGGAAGCCTTCCTCTCTTTGAAACTAATATCTCCTGACTGCCAGAGAGCCTCAGGTTGATGGGAAGGGAAACAAACATTTTGCTAGTGGAATAGCAGAGATAGTACTGGTAGAGCCCTTCCCATTTCCACTCCTTCAGTATTGGACCCCTGACCCCTGGCTGTGGGAGAGACAGCACCGTGTATCGGAGGCTGATTTAGAGCATATTCAGCCTCCTGGAAAAGGTTGCTGCAGCTGTACAGGTATTGCACATAGCTCTCACGGTTCTGTCAAGCCAGTTGCTCCAACGAAAAAAGGCAACACATTTAAGAAACTGTGAAGCCTTTTGTGCTTTTTGGTATAAATTCTTTCTACAAAATGAATGTTATCTAACCTCAAATTTAAACCATGTAGAATATTGTTAAAAGTTGAGCATAGGATCATTTCTTTATTATAATGGTAACTTTATTTGGATTATTTATTTTCAGTCAACCTGTTTTTTTTTAAGTTTATAATTTTTGAAGTGTGTGAAATAAGTAAGCTGTGTTCAATGTGAATTTTCTTTTCTCTAGGCAACAATCCCTGTTCCATGTTCTTGCTGCATATTCTATTTACAATACGGTGAGTTGGAGCATGCCTGCCCCAAGCTTTTTGAGGTGTATTCTGAGTACTGGGAGGACCCTTCCTCACAAGGCCCTTTTGGGCTGAGTTTCTTCATCTCAGGACTAGATGAAGATGTTCCCACATTCTTTGAGCTCTGTGGATCTCTACAATAACCATGGCTCGTAGAGCAAAGCTGATTTAGAAGTGGGAAAAACCACAGCATGTCAGTGAATCTCACTGTTTGTCTCTTTCTCCAGACTGTTTGTTTTGTTATTCTGATGTTGTTGTTTGTTTTGTTTTTATTTTATGACAATAGGACTGGGAATGAGCAGAGCTAGAAGAATAGGTAGTTGGTAGTTAGATTAACTTTTGCTTTTCTTTTTATCCATTCAGTGAGGTTCAACTAGGATACTGCCTGTGCCTGCTTGCTATTCCCAAGAGCAGGCTAAGACTAACCTTTCTAATAATGGAACATGTTTTGCTTTAGATATTTATCATTCTGGTGGGGGGAGATGATAATTTGGGGAAAGATCAACTAGGATTGAGTGTAAATTGGATGTTGTTAAATAAATGCTTGTGACTAGATTTCAGGGAGGACAACCATGAACCATGAGATATGTAATTTCTATTGTAATAAAAAGTTTTAAGTTACAAGGACAGAAATTCTCCAACTAGGGCAAGTTAAAAAGGAGCATACTAAAGGGACTTCTCATAGAAGCAATAGTTGGGCCCCATGGGAGTTGGAGCTGAAAAGTAAGAAGCCTTCAGTGAGAAAGAGCTACGCTTTTTATCTCTTCCACTTGGGCCACATGCTGACTCTGTAAACTATTTATTCCAATATTTCTCCAGATCGCTTTCTTTGCCTACTTAGCATTTTTTCCATGGCTAAAAGTGCACCCATAGACTCACCATGACCACTCTGTTCAAGTACACATCACCATCTGATTCCAGTCTCAGGCTTTATTCAGATTTCCTAGAAAGAGTTTGTTATTAGCCAGTGCAGCCAATTAATTGTTCCCCTGGGGTGAGGCCCCATTAGAAGCAGGGAACATGGGGAGAATGGGCAGTCCTCAGGGCCATAGGTTGGATGCATGTCTGCAGATGCGTGTATATAAAGGTCCAGAAATCTAGAGAAGGCCAGACCATGAATTGGCACTGTAGAAGAGAGATTTGCTAGCACCTGCACAAAGAGGAGGGATATTGAGCTGAGAAGCATACATAAAAAAGAAAAAAACCTGTAAGTGTTCTTTACAGAGGGTATAACAGTTGAACAGGGGGCAATAAAAATACATTTAGGTTTAGATTTTGTTCATACCTATAAATTTATTCTTGAACACAATCTTATTCTTTTATAGAATGTGCCTCAATGCTACGAAGATTTTAATATTTTTCTACAGAATTGCTCATTCAATAATGTATTTAGGCATTTTCTGATTATAAGTCAGGTTTCTTAATATGTGCATAAGCATATAATTTGATCTTAAAGCCCCCGGTTTCTGTGCTCTCATCTACTCTTCAGGAAGTTGGCTACTGTCAGGGGATGAGCCAGATCACAGCTTTACTCCTTATGTATATGAATGAAGAGGATGCCTTCTGGGCCCTGGTCAAACTCTTCTCAGGCCCCAAGCATGCCATGCACGGTAAGAAAGCCCCATAGTTTATCATAAACAATAAGCAGGAGAGGGAGAAAAAAGTCAAACTGTAGAAGATGCTTAGTTGAGTTAAGTACAAAAACTTACTGTCTAGGGGCTTGTTCTGTTAATTACTGTTTGTTACAAATTTTTAATTTCATTCTCCTTTAATGGACTCTAATGAATTTTTCTGTTCACATTTATATTCCTTTGTGTTTGCCCCAGAGTATATTGTTGGCATTTTAAAATTATTTTCTTGCTTGCCCCTATAATCAGGAGAGACTAATTTAGGTTCAGAGCAATTTTAGAAAAGCTGTATTATTGGGAGGAAAAAAGATGCCTTTTGATTAGAACTTTTAGACAGTTGTGTGATTATCATTTCAGTAAACTAATCTAACACTAATCACTGTAGGAATGGATCATGTAAGCTCTGTGAATATTTGAACTGTATATTGTGCGGAACCTGCAACATGTTTAAAGTGATGTTTTTATATTTCAAAACCATGACCTTCTATAGTTTATAGCTATTAAATCTCACATTCTTACCTTGTGTTTTTTTTTCCCAGGGGGGTATTTTGTATGTGCATCGTCTGTGTGTGCGCAAAAATGTGCATGTGTGTGTGTTAGCATTTGGCTGTCTCCCTCAGTGTTCCTTGTGAATTTTTTTTAATAAATACTATCTTCATGATAACTGTTCCTGGACACTTTGCACCTCACCAATAGACTCCAACAGTATGACATGTTATAGTGAATTGCCATCCAGTAGACAGTATCATTTAAAAAGCATCTTGAAGAAAAATAACTCTACCTGATATCAATTTTTATTTTGCTTAACTTTGGGATGATATTGCTGATATATGTTTAAGTACATGGACTGTTGTAATTTCAGTATATGTAATTATGTAGAAGACTGCCCAATTTCAGAAAAGTCATTTTTCTGCATTTCATATATGAAAGTTTCACATATAAATGTAAACAATAAAGTGAGGACTGAAGAAAATGAGATTTAGAATATCAAATCTGGGATGTCACTGAAAAGTGAAGAAAGATCGGGTGTCTTAGCTAGTATTTATTATGATGGGCATTGCTTTTTTAAAAAATCAGACTTATTGAAATTATTCCAGTTCCTGTTATTATCAGATTGACCATGAAAGTGGCACATATAGAGATGTGAATTTTTTTATGAAATCATCTCACTGGAAAATATTACTCATAGTAATCTCTATCTGTGTAGATTTTTACACACATCTTAGAAAACTGAGAAGTAGTTAAGAAATAGCCCTTCTCCAAAGATTATAAAGCAGTATTTCCCAATAGTATGTGAAGAACATAGTTTCACTTTTAGGAAACAGATGTGGGGTTTTTTGAGGAGGAGGTGGGGTAGGTCTCCAAGATCAAATAAGTGTAGAAGACCAAGTTAAACAAAGAAAAATGTTTCTTTATAGAACAACTTAGAAGCCTTAAGAAGCTCATATGTATCATGAATATCCAAGAAGGATATGTATAACGTAGAGCATTTCCCCTGGATTATTTTTTAAACATAGAACATCTATTAACATCTTTCAAAGTTATATAGAATCCAGGTTGTTAAATACAAATATGGAAAAACTATAAACCATTAAGTATACATCCTTTTTAATGGATTGTGTAGAATGTCTGAAAAGAAACCTGTGAATAAAAATAGATACAAAGTTCCATGAATTAAATACACAAAATTAATACTGAATTACTATTCACTGAATTACAATTAGTTGTAGCCTAGAAATCTTATACATTATATTATATAATCAGTTGAGGTAAAACACTGTTTCTGATGTAACACTGATCACGTAGTATATTTTAACTGCTGTTAAATATCACTTATAGAAAGGATTAAAAAAGAGATAAACACTTTGAAAACATGATGTTAATGAAATTTTTAGAGTAAACCTGGAAAAAGTAATAAAATGTTTGTTATATAATAAACAGTAAAACAAAATGAAAACAAATCAGGATATGATCTGATATTTTAAGAAGAGGTAATTTTGATAAATGGCTTGTTTCCATTTTTTCTTTGGTTTCTTAGTTTTCCTTTTAATACAGAAGTATTCTGTTCTCTTTTATATTTTTATAAGATTATAGGGGATCTTTAGAAAAAAAAATTAAACTACAGATTTTATTAACCAAAGCTCATACACAATTATTTTGTGTGTGGAGGGGGGAAGTATTTAGGTAACTCCTGGGTTTGTTTTTTGTTGTTGTTTCTGGCAGTTAGAGATGAAAGTAATGTTGCATTTTAAAATAGGGGTTTTTATTGGTCTTGTTTAAAAAAATATTTTTATGTTTGTATTCTAGGCTTTTTTGTCCATGGTTTTCCTAAGCTCTTGAGGTTTCAAGAACATCATGAAAAAATACTGAATAAATTTCTGTCCAAGCTTAAGCAACACTTGGTAGGTAGACGTGACATTGACTTAAACCCACCTACATCAAGAATAAAGCTAGAACCCTGGCTGGTGTGGCTCAGTGGATTGAGCGCCAGCCTGCAGACCAAAAGGTTGCTGGTTTGATTCCTGGTCAGAGCATATGCCTGGGTTGCAGGAGACAGGTCCCTGGGTAGAAGAATGTAGGAGGCAACTGATCGATATTTCTCTCTCACATCAGTGTTTTTTTTTCCCTCTCTTTCTCTATCCTTTCCCCTCTCTTTAAAAATAAATGAACAAAATCTTAAAAAAGAACAATAAAGCCAGAATAATTGAGTGCAGCCTTGGATCCCAATTAGCATATTGATTTGTAGTGTTTTCCATTTCATTTACTATGCAGTTGTTTAAAGAACATTGGATTTTTGAAACTTAATGTTGATGAACTATCACAGCCCTAACTCAGACTTCTTTGATGCTGATATATACAAACAAAATTATAAAGATAATGTGATATTTCAGTAAATTTGAAGGTGTTTTAATTGCACAAAAAGTATTTTAAGGATATACAAACTCATTCGTAGTGAACTATATATATGCTCTGTGATATTAAAACATAGTTTAGTAAAGCAAAGATACTTCACTATAAACTGTATTAAAGAGAATCAAAATGTTGTATTACAATCCTATCATGAAAAGGATTTGATTTTCAAAAGTAAAAATGAGAAGAAGAGGGAGTAAGAAGAGAAAAAATAGAATTACTCGAGCAGCATGAAAAAAGATTTGTAATGAAATGGGTTAATGTTTAGCTGTGATAGCTACTTCCTTCAGCCTCCCTAACTTCCAGTGTTATGTGTCAGACTTTGTTTGCTGCAATCCAGAAATTATGAAGTCTTTGTTTTTTCAGGATTCTCAAGAGATCTACACAAGCTTTTATACAATGAAATGGTTTTTTCAATGTTTCCTTGATCGTGTAAGTATTTATTTATGAAACCCAATCATAAAATTATAACTACCACACAAGGCAAACTATTAACCTTATTTCTGTTTTGTTTTTAATTATAGACTCCCTTTACTCTAAACCTCAGAATATGGGATATCTACATCTTTGAAGGAGAACGAGTTCTTACTGCTATGTCTTATACAATCTTAAAATTACACAAAAGTAAGAAGACGTTTAACTATAAAGATTTCACAAAAATCTAGCCATGTTTTAACGCTGATGTATCATTTGCCACTCAAATTCATTTTCTTTTAGTAATGAATTTAAAATATTCCTGAAAATCAGTGAAGAAATTATCTTCAGTTGGTAATTATTTTCACTGAATCTTATGACTAGAAGCTTACCTCATTGCAAAGGTCTTTGATTCTTTTCTCTATATCAGTTTTATTATTATTTTCATACTTAAACCGTAGAATATAATGTGGTAGTTTTGCTAATAATATTAATCTTATTAAGTATTTGTTTCCACTGGGATCCCATTCATCCTTTTCATCATTCTGAATCTCACCTTTGTAATAGGAGGGGAGCAAGACCAAAGAAACCAGATGCCTTAATTTTTTAAAAGGTCTAGAGAGGACATTTTCCATTACTGTCTCCTTTATCCAAGAAAAATGCATCCATCTTCAAGGTGTAGAACAGAGATGGGAAACCTTCAGTGGATCTCTCTGCTTGACTGCCTTGTGGCCTCTGGGGCAAGTACAGTCCACAGCTATAGTTGGCTTAATGCAACAAGGCTTTAAGAAGCCTGCAGTTGCAATATTTCAAAGGCTGTGTAAATTCGATGTACTATGCCTTATTTTAAAATCCAGAAATGAGAGTTTTTCTTCATGAAATGAAGAGCCTTATCCATCTTAATATCTCAATTCACCCGTAAAAAAATATGACTTCTTTTGTAACTACACAGAGAATCACTGAAAGCTTTAGAACTGCACGTACACTTCTAATTCAGCCACACAACATAGTTTCATGTTCACTGTATTCTACTCTCTTATGCTGTTCTCAAATGATTTGTCTGTTCAGCCTCCCAACTAAATTATGATCTATTTAAGTACTTGGGGTCATGTTTTGTAGTGTTTTTCCCAGCTGTGCATGGTACTGTTCTAAGTACACATTAGGTACTTTAATATAAAATTGTTTGATTGCTTACCTGAAAAGCATGGACTTCACAAGTGCCAGATTATCCAAACTTTAGATGAGAGTGAAAACTCCCTTTAAAATCATATCTGTACTATTCACTTGGAAAGAAAAGGATTCAGAAGTGTTGTGGTTCGCTCCTCCGACACCCAAACCCCTACTCCCCCAACTCACAGAACACAGCACCAAAGAAAACAAGTGAGAGTGAATTGTCTTCAAGACTCATAGAGCCACAGGAAATCAGTCAATTTTTCTCAGTCTTTCCCCTCCCCTTTCCTCTTTCTGGATTATGAACTGACCAAGATATAGAATAAAGGTAAATACTTTTTATTAAGATATATACTTACTACTTCAATGTTCCCTAAACATGAGAAGTAGAAACATGATGTTCTATTTCTCCATAGCTCTCTTCTCCTACTTAAAGTATATTTTACTTATATGACTCTTGATTAATTTTGACAAGTAAAAAGTTTCTTCACCCTTTGTAAATAATCTTTAAGCATAACAATTATTAATACTTTATGTACTATCATTTCATTAGACTAAAGCTGTGTAAGAAAGTCTGCTGCTATGTATGTTTTCTTAGTTAGGAAAAGCGAGCTCAAAGACTTACAAAACATTCATTCACTGCCATATAAAGTTTCAAAAACTGTGTCTGGAACCCTTAACCAATAGTTAGCTGAAGCTCCCAAGGTTTTCTCTTGGTTATTTCCTGATTGCCTTAACAATATTCAGAGACAGTGTTACCAGAGGTTCACCACATAGTGGTTTAAATAGTTAAAGAAAGAAAAGAGAAAAGCAAAGAAACAACATAAATGTCCAATATTAAAAAGTATAGTACATATATACATTGGACTCTTATAGTTCTTAATAATGATGGTATAAAATTATACTTGTTGAAATAAGAAATATCAGTGATATATGCATTCATTATCGAATGAGAAAAAACAAGTGAGTATCATGGAAAATATAATTTACTTTTTAAAATTAATGCACATGTACACACATCTTACAGGGCAGTAGCTAGTGGAATCTTACCTGATTTTTACTTTCTATTTTGTATCTGTACTTTGAATTTTTCCAATAAAATTAATTTTATAAGTAGAAATAAAAATAAAACTAGTAATGCAAATTGTTTTGAATTCTGAAACAGTAGAAAATATAGACCTAAAAATTCATTTGGAGCTCATGCCAATAAAACAGAAAGAGCTCTCATCATCATAGATGGTCTGTATTCATTGTATCAAAAGGAGTTCTTGCTCTGGGTTAATATTAATGCCCGGGTACAGTTATTCTAAACCACGAGAAGGTATTTAGTAGTAGTCACCTCCCTATCCCCCATTGTATGAGCACCTGCTTTTCTCTGTGACTGCTTTAATATCAGAAAATATTTCTGTCATACTGAGTTCCAATGATATTCACAATACCATATTTAATTTGTTGTGCCCCTTAAAAAAATACTGCACCAGAATAGCAGAAAGAATTCTTTCTCTACCTAAAGTTGCTGTTGACATAGCATTTTTATTTCTCTCATCCTTTCTTAGAGCACTTAATGAAATTGTCTATGGAAGAACTTGTGGAATTTCTTCAGGAGACCTTGGCAAAGGACTTTTTTTTTGAAGATGACTTTGTAATAGAGCAACTTCAGATTTCTATGGCAGAACTAAAGCGGGCAAAATTAGACCTTCCAGAACCTGGTAAGAAATATCGAAACACTTTATTTAAGTTATAATTAAAAATGAAAGATACAGCACAATTAACATGGGCCATTACTGTTTCAAAACATGAGCATTATACATGCTTGTGATGACATAATGTAAATCAGTGTTTTACCAGCTGTTCATGACTTGATTCTTATTTTAAGAAAAAGCAAATAAATGTATCAATTATATCTGCCTCTCCTAATAGAATAACTGTACTATCACTACTTAAATTTAGAAAGCTTGTTTGACAAGTAATATTGTTCAACAGAAGTAAGCATGCAGCTTTAAATTAGCATAAGAGGCACTTTTTACTTTCATCATTCAATTTGTGAAACTATATGCAATAGCAGAGCAAGTAAGAGTCCCATTTTATAGAAGAGGAAACTGATACTAAGATGCTTAAATATAAAGCTGCAGAACAAGCAGATTGCATTATTGACACTGGAGTCCAGTTTTCTGACTACTAATCCAGGGTTCTTTGCAGTATATTGCAGTGTAGATAATATACTTTATTATTTCAAAACATCTTCTAGTTTTTCTAGAAGTGCTCTCCTGGGGATGAATTACTGAAAATAAAGACAAGTTTCTTGCTTTCAGGGTACAGGAGAGATGGGACTTACTCAAAGATAAACAGATTGTGGAGGAGTAATAGCTAGACACAGGATACAGAGGGAAGGTTCAGGGGCAGGGCAGTGGAGAATGAGAAGGAAAAGAAAATGTAGAAAGATCACAGTAGGAATAACTTTTAAGAGTTTTGACTAGATATTATTTGACAATGTATGATATCCCGTACAAAGTGTATTCTGCCCTCCATTACTACCTTTGTTGTGTGGATGGGTGTGGGAAGGGAGTTGGGAAGTGGAAGACCATGAGTAAGAGAAGAAAAGTAAACGAAGTCAATTATGAATACCCTCAGGTGCGGTTGGATTTAGTATTTCCAGTCAGTGCAGTCCATACTTTGATGTCTTGGATGTGTATGTACAGAACAAGCAGAAACACATTACTGAAAAACGTCTTTCCCCCTTTGGTAAAAACCTGGATGTTCTGCTTTCGGTTATAAATTGCAAGAGGTCTAATCATTAGTGTTTCTCTGAAGTTTGTTCTGGATCATAAGGATTCCCTCAAAAACAAAATATTATGGCAGTAACCAAATGTGGGCATCAGCCCTCTGAACCCTTCACCTTTCCTAAGTGAAGTCAACCCTCTCTCGTTTAGTATAATGTCCATTTTCTGCTATTTCTTTCCTGTAGCAGGGAATGCATTGGAACACAATTACTAACTGCAGCTTTGCTACTTTAACATTTATTTTTAAGTATGTTGTTGACTACTTTTAAAAAGAGTTTATGACAAGTTTTAGTAAAAGACATAGAGAAAAAATAATAGAGTAGAACTGTTTGAACATGAGAATAACATCAAAACCTATGTAAATTAGCATTTAAGTAGCCCCTAATATTTACTGTATGCTTACTGTGTGCCACCTACTACATGAACTATTTCATTTAATCCCTAAAAATACCTTGTGAGAAAGTACTCATCCTCATTTTACGCATGAGGAAGCTCATAGTCTTTTCTAAGATCTTTTACTAGGAGAGTGTAGAATGGGGATGGAGAATGGAGCAGGGAAGTAGGGGAGAGGAACAGACAAATAAGACCAGAAACATTGGCTCAGTTTTGCAGTTAGGGTGGCGTGTGGCAAGTGGTCATGCACTTTTTAGGACAACACTCTGCTCATCAGCCTCGACTTCACTAATTATAAACAATTTTAATATCTATTGGGGCTAATTTCCCCTCAAGGCTCATCGGCCTTGACTTCACTAATTATAAACAATTTTAATATCTATTGGGGCTAATTTCCCCTCATAACTTTGTATTATTTTGTCAAGTTACAAAAAAACCCACTAGTATTTTAATTGATTGCACTGAATTTAAAAGATTATTGAGAAAAAATTGATATTTATAAGACAAGGTTTTTTCTAAATACAAGCTTTTGCTTTTCAGATGTTCAAGTTTACTTTAATCTTCATTAATCAAATTTGTTTTCTTTATATGACTGTTACAAATTTCTTAACACCCAGCCCAACCCCCCACTCCTATAGGTAAATTTATCTTTCTTATTGCTGCTGTAAGGTGAACTTTTCATTTTTTCTAACTGGTTAGGAAAACTTTTGCTATATTAAATTTTTTTGTCATGGTAAAATACATGACATAAAGTTTACCATCTTAACCATTTTTAAGTGTACAGTTAAGTGGTATGAAGCATATTCATAATGTACAATCATCATCACCATCCACCTCCTTAACTCTTTATCTTATAAATCTAAGACTCTGTACCCATTAATTAAGATCTCTCTATTCCTACCCTCCTCCTAACCCCTGGAAATCACCATTCTACTTTTTGTCTATGATTTTGACCACTCTAAGTATCCCACATAAATGGAATAATACAGTATTTATCTTTTGTGATTGACTTATTTCACTGAACATGTCTTCAGGGTTCATCCATGTTGTAGCCTGTGTCAGAATTTCTTTCCTTCTTAAGGCTGAATAGTATTCCATTCAAGTATTCCATTCCAATAGTTTGCATAAACCACATTTTGCTTATCCATTCAAGAGGGACTACATCAGTTGCTTTCACGTTTTAGCTATTGTTAACTAATGCTGCAATGAATGTGGGTGAACAGATATCTCTACAAGACCTTTCTTTTAATTCTTTTGGGTATATATACTCAGAAATGGAATTGCTGGGAGATATTATAATTCTACTTTTAATTGTTTGAGGAATTACCACACTGTTTTCCACAGGAGCTGCACCCTTTTATATTTCCACCAATAATGCACAAGGTTTCCAATTTCTCCACATTCTTGCCATCATTTTTTTTATATTTCTCTTAGTAGCCACTTGATTGGTGCGAGGTGGTAATCTTAATGTAGTTTTGATTCACTCAATGATCAGTGACTTGAGCATCTTTTCATGTGCTTATTGATCATTTATATATTTTCTTTGAAGAAACATTTATTCAGTCCCTTGCCCATTTTTGAATTGGGTTATTCATTTTTTTATTGTTGAGTTTTAAGAGTTCTCTCTATGTTCTAGATATTAATCCCTTTTCAAATAAATGATTTGTAAATATTTTCTCCCATGTTATGGGTTGCCTTTTTACTCTATTTTTGATGTGTAAAATTTTTTAATGTTTATGAAGTCCAATTTGTTTTTTCTTTTGTTGCTGTGCCTTTAATGTCATATCCAAGAAATCATTGCCAGATACATTGACATAAAGTTCTTGTCCTGTGTTTTCTTCTAACATTTTCATAGATTTTAGGGATTATATTTAAGTCTTTCATCCATTTTGAGTTAAATTTTTCATGGCATTTGGTAAGGATCCAACTTCATTCTTATGCATGTGGATAACCAATTTTTCCAGCACCAGTGTTGAAAAGACTGTTCCTTTCCCATTGAATGGTCTTGGCACCCTTGTAAAAAAAAAATCATTTGGTCATATAGGGGAAGATATACTTCTGGGCTCTCTATTCCATTGGTCTTAAAGGGGATGCCTTACCAAACTTAAAGTGGATGCTACTACCACACTGTTTTGATTACTATGGTTTTATAATAAGTGTTGAAATCAGAAATTTTGAGTCCTCCAGTTGTCCAAGATTGTTTTAGCCATTTAGGGTCCCTTTAGAGTGCATATGAATTTTAGGATGGTTTTTCTATTGCCAAAAAAATTAATTGGAGTTTTGATAAAGGTTACATTAAAAATGTACTTTGGATAGTATTAACATCTTAAGAATATTAAGTCTTCTAATCCATAAGCATGGGATGTGTTTTCATTTATTTTTGTTTTAGCTAGTTTCTTTCAGCAATGTTCTATAGTTTTTATAGAACATGTCTTACACCTCTGTGGTTAATTCCTAAGTATTTTATTCTTTTTGGTGCTATCATAAATGGAATTGTCTTATAATTTCCTTTTCAGGTTGTTTATTGTTGATGTATAAAAATACAACTGAATTTTGTGTGTTTACTTTGCATCTCGTTTATTAGCTCTAACAATTCTTTTTTTGGTGTGTGTGGAATCTTCAGGGCTGTATACACATAAGATTATATCTGGGAACAGTGTGAATTTTACTTTTTTTTCCAGTTTGGATGCCTTTTATTTCTTTTTTATGCCTACTTGCTCTGGCCAAAATTTCTGGTACTGGGTAAACTAGAAGTGGTGAGAATAGGCATCCCTTTCTTGTTACTGATCTCAGAGAAAGAGCTGCAGTCTTTTATCAGTGAATATGATGTTTGCTGTGGGTTTTTCCATACATGGCCTTTACTAGGTTGAGGTAGTTTCCTTCTATTACTAGTTTGTTGAATGTTTTTATGATGAGAGTGTTAAATTTTGTCAAACACTTTTTCTACATCAATTGAGATGATCATGGTTTTTTTCCTCCTCCTTCATTTTTTTAATGTGGTGTATTAAATTGATCAGTTTTTGCATGTTGAATTATCCTTGCATTCCAGGAATATGTTCCACTTGGCCATGGTGTACAGTCCTTCTGTTATGTTGCTCAACTCAGTTTGCTAGTATTTTGTTGAGGAACTTTGTATCAGTGTTCATAAGGGATGTTGTTCTGTAACTTTCTTGCAGTGGCTTTATCTGGCTTTGTTGTCAGGATAATGCTGTCTTCACAGAATGTACCAAACTTATAAATTAAACTTTATAATAGGTATGTATGTATGTAGGTATGTATAGGAAAAAACACAGTACAATATATATAGGGTCCAGTACTATCTGCAGTTTCGGGCATCCACTGGGGGATCTTGGAACGTATTCCCTGTGGATAAGGAGAGACTTCTGTATTTTTTAGAAACTTGCTCACGCTCTGTTTCTGAATGTATTTGTATAAGATTTTGCAAAGAACTTTTCAAATATATACAAAAGTAGAAAAAATGTTAAAGAATCCCTTTCTCCATTTATTCATCACCCAACTTATTGAACAATTTTCAA